GCAAAGCTAAAAATGACAAGAAGGTAATGAGAGTACCACTCATCATGCATTACTTTATCATGACGTCCTCTTGAAATTAAAATGGCTTTGTTTTACAGGTTAAAGCTATGATGTCAAACAAAAATAAAGAGCTGATTGGGACATTTTTGCGCAGCCACATTGTCATGTGTTACACACTTCGGCCTTCTTACTTCAGTCAACCACGAAACCTCACTACATTGTCTGGCTATGTCCTGAAGACACGATCATCACAAGTAATTGCTAATAATGACTAGTATATTTTTGAGTAGATAAAAGACTTTCATAAGTTTTCAAGTGACATATTATCTGGTTTATCTGTGTATTTACCTTCAGGGAAATATCTTCATAAATGAAGCCAATGTGACCTATAGTGATGGTGTCAGTGTGAATGGTATCTTCCATGAGGTTGACAATATTTTGTTTTCACCAAATGATGACCAACTGAAAGAGCTGGATGAGAATGTAATGTTTATTTTTTAAGCAAATCTCAACTTTATTTATTGTAGTTAAATAAACATATTCCTTTTTCCTCTCACAGTTAAACCTCACTGATGTGGCTCAGCGAAATGGTTACAAAACCTTTGTCAAAGTACTAGAGGTAAGACACTTGAATGTTGGATTTGAACTAATTTGTCTATTTTGATTTTGTGCCCATATATTTTAGGACACAGGGGTGATGGAATTACTGCGTGAAGAAATAAACCAGCCTCTTACCATCTTCATGCCGTCTGATGGTGCAATGGCCTCTCTGCCCCAGGACCAAAAGGACTTCCTGTATCACCCACAGAACCGCGCTCAGCTACAGGAATATCTCAAATACCATATTGTACACAGCCAAAAGGTTTGCATGTTTTTATCAGTCTTTATAGTATTTATTTTTAGACATTAATTGCATATTTTGTACTGTTATTTTTTGTACAGATTTATGCTGAAGGCTTGGTTCATTTGGATCTTGCTCGAACAGTCCAGGGTTCATCACTCTCTTTTACCTGTGGAGGTTCAGATGCTATTGTGAGTGTATTCATTAATAATAATAATAGTATTAATAATAATAATGAATTGGAATTAGACAGTCCCTTTTAAGATGCCCAAATGTTGTACATTATTCATTCAACCCAAACTTGATGGTAAGCTAATACTGTAGCCACAGGTGCCCTGGGGTAGACTGACAGAAGTGAGGTTGTCGATCTGCACCACTGGTCCCTCCGACCACAACCAATACTCACACAACATCTTGCCTAAAGACACTAAAACCACTGCTGCACCACTATAGCACTTGGCAAAAGGACACACTCTATAGCATTTGTAATTCTCAGTGGTCTCCCCTAGATCCATGGGTCTCCCATACAAGTACCAACCAGGCCAAACCCTGCTAAGCTAGATCAGCCTCAAAGTGGTGTATGGGCACAAGAGCTAAACCAGTGGGACTAAATGCATGTGGTTTTAATAATCTGTGTCTAACCAGGGAGAGGTCTTCGTGAATGAAAATTGTCGGATCATTCAAAGACATCTTATGTTTAATGTGGGTGTAGCCTATGGGATTGACTGTCTACTGACTCCACCGAGCCTTGGGGGGCGCTGTGACAAGCAGGGCACTTTTGACCACACAGTGAGTTGTGTATGTTTGTAAAAGTAGTGACAGAAAGAGCATAGTGATCTTATGTGCTTTTTTTTCTGTCTGTCTGCTAGACAGACTGTGGCTTATGCTCATCACAGTCTTCTCGTTGTCCGAAAGGTTCAAAATTTAAGGTTGGTATCCATATATGCAGTTTTCTTTAAATGAATGTGATCTTTTTAAACAATTTATTTGACTGTATTTATTCTTTCAGGAAACACAAAAATGTGACCTTCCAACACATTATGTCACAAAGAATTCTGGCTGTCGCAGTGTCTGCACCATTACTTTTTGGAGGCCAAAGTGTTGCCTCAGTTACTTCGGACGAGACTGTCTAGGTACACGTAATGATTAAATAAGGACACAGTTGTTATTTTGTAAAGGGTACAAAATACCCTTTACACGCTCTTTCTGCCCAGCTTGTCCAGGTGGTGAAGGTTCCACTTGCAGTAATCAAGGTAAATGTGATGATGGGCACCTGGGTAATGGCACCTGCACATGTAACCCAGGTTTTGATGGTGTTGCATGTGAGCTGTGCAGCAAAGGCTTCTATGGACCCACCTGCAAAGGTAAGGTCTTACTGTCATTCACCGTTTTTGCAGTAGATCTGGTTAAGTTGTTGCTCACTAGGTGGTCTACTTTTTTTTTTACATTTAGTGTGTAACTGTACTGAACATGGATCCTGTGATGACGGCCGTAAGGGAACAGGCTTATGTTTCTGTGAGGAGGGCTGGACTGGAGAACGCTGTGAGACACAACTTGGTATGACAGAGTCCTAATACTTTTTAATATATATTTATTCAACTTAATTATGAACTATGTTGTTTTTTAATCTTTCTCCAGCTGAGGTATATACATGTTCTCCACCATGTTCTCCCAAAGCCGTCTGTCAAATGAACAACTCATGTGTTTGCCGTCCTTTTCATGAAGGAGATGGATTTACATGTGCAAGTGAGTACTAATAAACATATGTTTTAGACCATATTGTCTAGAACTGGTAAAACATGCATTTATACAAAAAACTGTATTGTCTTCAACAGTAGTGGCCATGTGTCAGATCTGGAATGGAGGTTGTGCTCAAACAGCAAAGTGCTCTCAGAAAGGAGACCAGGTGAGCTGCACCTGTCTAAAGGGATATTCAGGTGATGGTTACTTCTGCCAGCCTATTGACCCCTGTGCTGCAGAGGACAATGGTAAATGCCATGAACATGCCACCTGCACCATGACTGCACCGGTGAGACATGTACCAGTATAATCCCCACGTTATCTCAAAGATACAACTGAAATATTAATATTGTCTGTCAACCAAACATCAGGGAAAGAGGAGATGCAGTTGTAAGAACAACTATATTGGAGATGGAATAACGTGTGAGCTTAAGCAGCTGCCCATCAGTCGATGTGTCCAAAACAATGGACAGTGTCACCGGAACGCCAAATGCACCGATCTTCATTTTGAAGGTGTGGGCCCCATTCATCATCTTTCCTTAGTGTGTGTTTTTTGCATTACATAATATGTTGTTTTAGATGCAATGCTTGGTGTCTTTCACCTCCGCTCAGCTAAAGGTCAGTACAAACTGAACTACACACAAGCCCAGCTGGCCTGTGGTGAAGAAGGGGCGCGCCTGGCAACCTACAATCAGCTGTCATATGCTCAGCAGGTGGGACTGCAGTCTGTATTTCTCAGTACGACAATACACTTAAAATCAATAATGCACTGTGTTATAAAGGGTGGGTTGAACATGTGTGCTGCTGGCTGGCTAGACCAGGCCAGAGTGGCCTACCCTACCACCTACTCTAACCCCAAATGTGGCTTTGGACATGTGGGCATTGTGGACTACGGAGTACGCAAAGATCTGGGTGAAACCTGGGACACCTTCTGCTACAGAATTAAGGGTAAGAAACAATGATATTTTTCTGTTTGCGTTACAAGTATTTCTAAATGACTTTGTTACAGAGGTGAAATGTGAGTGTAAAGTGGGTTATGTTGGAGATGGCTTGAGTTGCACGGGAACCCTACTCCAGGTTCTCAGATCTACTCCACAATTCTCCAATTTTCTCTCAGTGAGTCATCTCCTTGGTGTTGTGCAGTGTATAACATGCATATTTTATCCATCATTCAACATAATATAACACTTTTTATTGTCGTTTAATATTTACAGCAAATCTTCAATTACTCAGAGGTTTCATCTTTGGGCAAACAGTTTGTCATGCGCCTCAATAACTTCACAATGCAGTCCACTCTGTTTGTACCAGATAACAGTGGGCTGGCCAATAACCAGGTTAGTCCAAGTCCTTTGTACTGTTGTAAGACTTTGCCATCTTTGAATGAATACATGTCCTTACAGACTCTAACCCAACAAGATATTGAGTTCCACCTTTTGGAGGGGAGTGTTGTGTCTTTGGACCAGTTGCCAAATGGCACTCGGATCAGAAACCGTTTTGGAAGCCTTATTGTTCTAGGGATTAGAGATCTGCAGGACCCGTCCTCTCTGGTAATAAAATAAACACTGTTTATATTAACATTGTGAATAATATTTACATGGTCCAATTGTTTTGTTTTTTTCTTCTTAGTCATCCCAGTACATCAATGACCGTTTTGTCATCAGCGCTAACATTTTAGCTTCAAATGGGATTATTCATGTCCTTCAAGGGCCCCTGAAGGCACCACCTACTCAGCCAGAGGTAGTATTTAATACTTGGGAGATTATGTTATCTTTATTTGAATCTGACATGAAGCTTATCGTTTTTTGGTTCAACAGATGCATATAGCACACAAGGCAGGACTGGGGGTTGGTGTAGTGCTGCTAGTCACTCTTTTAGCCGGAGTTGCTTTTGTTGGTACACATTTCTACAAACAAAATGCCAAACCCTTCCGGTTTCACTATTTTAAGGTAGTGAACCTGTTTTGTGTTTTTTTTTTTTGATGAATTTTATTAGTGTTGAATGGCGTGTTATTATGACAGGAGGAAGATGCTGCAGATGATACTTCAGCAGAAATAAATGGTCACGGCCTCGCTAACCCTGTATACGAGCCTAATCCACAATTGGAGGCAACACCACCAAACACATCAGACCACAAAGTCAGTCAGTCTTTCAAGATATACCTAATATAACATATTCACATATTTTACCATCTTTAATGTAATTATAGGCTGATGACAAAAATGGGGAAGCCAACGAAGTCTGAAGACAGTTGAGATGTTGCAGTTCAATCACATCCGTTACCTCAGCTGATTCAGAATTACAAGTGAACTGCCTAGTCTTAAATGGAGTAATTTCAATTGACCAGTTTTATTTTTTTATCTGCCTTATTTTTGTGAGTGGTTTATCTTGATGTCCATCTATTTTATTATATACAGTAAAAATGTTCTAGTACAAGTTATTTTTCTTGTGTTGTATTTTCCATATATTCATAATTATCTGTATTCATGTGGGAAACACAGTCAATGATTGTCATGCTGCCAGGTCAAATAATCAGTTATACTTTAATTAAAAGAGAAAAAAAGCTTGTTGGGTATGTTAAGGAACCAATTTGGTTTTGAAAATGGTTACTGACAAACGCATTTGAGAGGTCTTCTAATGGAGGCTTTCATAGTCTCCTATTTTATCAGAAATCCACGAATAGAAACGTGGCACTCTGGTGAAAACTGCTGGAAAATGTTCATCACATCGATTGCTGCCCCATGTGGCCACTCCAAACAGAAAGTAGGCACCATGCTTTCGACAGAACAGAGGAGCTCCCGAGTCGCCCTGAAGTACATAAACACTGGGTAACAGAAACAAGTAACATGGGCTACTGGTCCTTTACAGCTCCATGTTTCATATAAAAATAGGTTTGCTAAATGAGTTTACCAGACAGGATGAAGAAGCTGCAGGATGAGCACATACATGAGAGTCTTTGATCATGTCTTCTCCCCACTTCTCTCTACAGGTGGTCTGGTTAAGCAACGTCACAGCAGCGTGGTGCAACCGGTTAGGATTCACACCTCCTGTACACATTGACATGATGAATACTGAAAAACAAATAAGTTGATGTGCAATACATTTAACCTGTAGCCTTAGTTGCCCCCCATCCAGTCACTGCACAAAGCCAGCTAGGATCCAAATCACCATCCTCATCCTGATCAGGGACACATATTGGAGCCACATTTCTGCCTGAAGAAAAAAATATGTTTAAATATATCTCCTGTTGCACTTATGTTTTAATTAGGGTCAGTACCAAGTCTAGCAGGAATGCCGAGCTGGATCAGGGACAGGTCAGCACCTGGAGGAAAGCTGCCATCTTGTGGTAGGTTGATAACTCTCACTACAGGACTACTTTGTAATAAAGAATACCTGATGTCATGTATTCCCAAAACCACTGTGTCCCCAGCACTGAAGAACAGCAGGTGGAAAAAGTAAAAAAAAAAAAAGTGTCCAGATCAAAGTCCCTTTAACAAGTCTTCACACAAAAATACCGGGCTACATTGATGCAATTTTTTAACGTAATGATATCACAGAGTCTAGCACTTGAATATCTCTTCCTACCGTACATGGCAGTGATGGGCCGTGATGACAAACTGCTGACTGATCAGGGTCCCGCTGCAGTAGTGGTGTCCGTCCTGTTGTATACTGACCTGCCAGGGCCAGTAAAATGGACAGGATTCGCTGATGTTTTGCACAGATACAACACCATCCTGGGACTGGTGCAACGCTGCAGTGAGTGGGACTTTCACACACCCTCTGCCCTGGAGCTTTCCACAGTTGTCTTCTACTGGAAAAGCAAAGAGATTCTGAAATCTGTACATGTTTCAAATTTGTTCTAAAACAAACCTGCCACCGGAGCATCATCTGACAGTGTATTTTCTTCATCTGTAAAAACAGAAATATAGACACATAGAGCATGTTCAGGTGTATGCAATTTAAATTGGTATAATAGGTAAATGCTGTTTACTTATGACATCAAAGATCCATGGAACAAATTTCTGTATTTTTGTGTAGACTCCTGGCTTTTTGACCCGTCCACAACCAACACCCCAGCTTACTACCCCTGCGAGCTCATACCTGCTTCCATTGAAGCAGGATATGGGCCCTCCTGAGTCCCCCTAAGAGAGAAATGACATTAAGCAGAATTAATGTGTAATACAAACTAATAACCAAGTTAAATATGCAAAAACAAAGGATCATTAAGGAGGTTAGGGTACACTTTATTGATCCCCATAGAAAATTCATCGTCTTTTGGTCCATCCTTCAATGAAGCTGGGGTAGTCTTGGGACCCATATCCAGATTGAGCCAGGATTAGGCAGGACTAAGATAAAAGATTTGCCTGGTAAACCCAGAATGATCTCTGTATTTTTATATTTGGTTACATCTTTACCACAATAAAACATGATTGCGCAATCAAAGTTTGATGCTTCGCTCATTGATTCTGCAGAAATTCACAATGTATTTCAGTCTCTTATGATATTTTTCTCTTCTTTTTTTCTTGTAAGCATCCATATTTGTTTTAATTGGCTAATCCACCTGTCATCTTCATAAGATATTGGAAAACATTGTATATTAGATCCCAGGCAAGAAAGGGCCCATGCTATGCAGAAGTTAAACCTTTCAGGACCCTACCAGTGAAGCTGAAGTATTTATCCTTTGCAAAAAAAAACATTTAAAAACCCTGTCTGTTTCTGTGTTACCTGACAGGCATCTGCACCACCTTCTTCCTTTCCTGCACAAAGCATTGTCTCGAAGATTCTACCAACATAATATTTGTTACAAACTTCAGAGGGGAGAAGTGTGACATTAACTTCCTGTAATTTGTTCACACGAGGTCCATCTAAGGAACAAGGCACAAGCAGTCAGAAGGGAGAGGGCAAAGCTACTGTGACATGCATACATACTCTCTCTAGTGGAGCCCCAGCCTGTGGTGGTGCATTCAGTGAACAGGGGCAGCTCACTCATCCAGATGTTGATGGGTCTCACAAAGTCATTGAAGATGAGCAGCTCCTTCAGCTTCAATAAGGCAATGTCGTGCTCTTTGGTCTGAGTGCTGTAATCCTTATGACTGATGATTTTACTCACTTCAACCACCTTCATTTGAAGTGACATTTGAGAGAAAGAGTAATGGAGCACACTCCCAGTCAACAACTTGCACTGGCTCAAAGTGACTTTTCAGAATTAAATTGTACAGTTTTATCACTGACATCCCCTGTAATCCAAAAACAGATCAACTAACCTTCTGACCTTTTTCATCTGAATTTTCGAGATCATGTTTTCCAGCCAGAACTGTCCACAAAGAAGGTTTACTGTACCTGTAACACAAGATAAATGGACACTCTATTCTGTATAATGAAAACTACAATTAATACCTGTATTGAATCCCACCTTCTGAAGCAGTGAGCAGCAGAAATAACCCAGAGTGGTGACAGTATGGCCCCTCCACATGCTGGCATAGTGATAAACCTGAGAGAAACCTGCCATGGCCAAGAGTGAGATGATGCCTCCACCCCTCCAATTATTCTGGTCTCCTCTTCTGTCTCAGGTAAGAAGGAGCGCAGCCCAGCTAGATCTATAATGCATAACACTTGTATAGGGCTTTTCGGATCTAAGGGCCATCACAACACAATAACTTTAAAGGCCCCATGACTACACACACACTAAGGCCTATTGAAAAATCTGAACTCACCACTTAAGGTAAAAACTCCCGACAAATGTTCTTCCGTTTGATTTAAAGTTGGGCCTAGTTCATCTACAAATATAAGACAATTCATCTGAATTTTTTCCCTAAAATCATTCTAAACATCATTATTTTTCTTACCTGATACTTCAAACAGGAAAACAAAAGCAGGAGGAGCCGCCGCTTCATGCCTGCTGTGGCGCTGTCATCAGAAACACCTGCGGATTCCCTATGACCTGATTTAGCAACCTACTTCCCGTTTAAACCTAAAATTTTGTAGCAATAAACATGACTTTAATCAGGGTTAGCCTACAATTTAAATCCGCCTGCTTTGTGTTGAGCGTGAGAATAGGCCTATTACAGATATTTACAGTATGATTTTTGTTTAGCTCTTTAACTAATACCTGACATGAAAGATTTGGTCAAAATTAATAGAGCCAGTCGCTGACGGTGTTTGACTGCTCTTTTAGCTGTAGAGACTTAATTCTAGGTGGAATTCATAGAAGGCTATGATAAGCATGGCCTATAGCTGGTACATTTAATTGATCGAATAGGCTGTCTACCACATGGGGATGCAGGCTAGCATTGTAATCGTCAGGAAGCACGCGCTTTCACAAATGGAGGGAGCGCGCAGGGAGCGCGCAGCGTGCCCAGTGAGAGGCGTGACGCGCCTTAACCGCATCTTCAGGATGGCATTGGCAGGTATGGTCTCCTTTGAGTTATTATATCTGGTCGCAATAAGAAGACGAGGCGATGGCTGCATATATGACAGTACTGGTCTTTAAATCGTTGGTTTTGCGTGTGAGCTCTGGCTGACAGTGCTGATGCTGGTGTCGTTGTAGCGGAGGCTTGCTGGCTTGTGCGGAGCCAGAGAGGGAGGCGGCTCGAGTATCCTTTCCGTTGAGATTTTTCTGTTAGTGCTGATGTACAACAGTGGATTGGCTGGACTCGACGACATGGCAATGCAAAATAGTGAATGCATGTGGCCTGGTCATGGGTGAGCCCGAGAGCATCTTAATTACCCGCTTGATTCGGTAATGGGGTCATTCAAGAAGGTAACAGAACCGGGGAAGACAGGTTGCTTTGGGCCTGTGGAGGAGCTAATTTCACTGGAGCATGATCGATGCATGCCAGGTGGACTTGATAGAGCACCCAAGACATTGAAGACAGCAGGAAATATAAGATGTAATGGGACTGTTCTTTTTGGTGTGGGAACGTGATAGACTTATTATAACACAATAGTATAATAATAATATAACTAATATAGTTTATTTTAGAAAATGTTTTCTGCAGCAAATGGCTCTAATGTGTTTAGCCCACATATTGCTTAAATGCAGTGTGATTAAGATAAACCATTCTACAACTTACATTTGTGTCCCACTTATAGAGCCCCTTGATCTGCCCTAATGGCACAGTGTAGTGGTCTTGGCCCCTTGAGGACATGGACCCCAACACCTGAGTGGTACCCTGATGGACCTTGGAGCCATGGTCTTCAGGCAAACACTCCCCACACGACTGCTGCTCATGGGCCTGGTGGTCCACACGCTGTCAGCAGACATATCTTTACAAGGTAAATCACACTGTGGTACTATGTGTCATGAAATAACGTCACGATGAAACCTTCACTTTTCATTTAGTCCTCCCACTGACACTGAGTCACAGTCACCACCTTCTCTCAACATACAGCACGTTTACAACCTGAGCCTTCACCTAACTGCTGATATTACACCAACAAGATAATTGAAATTGTATCTGACCACCATCAGAAGCAGCTGAAATCACAAAATTTTATGAACAAGCATGATAACCATTTTAAGAGAGTGGCAGTTGAATTATCTTTATCTTGATCTATCTTTCCCCTTCTGTATCTGTGATCTGAGGGCGTCGTCTCCAGAATACCAATGAAGCGTCACGTAGCACGTGATGCTGTTGCACAGTACTGCGTCACTATGGCAACAGAGTTGGTACAGGATGAAAGAGGCTCAGTCAAGTCTGAGACTCCAAGCAAGCAAACCAAAAAATGTTTTAATTTTGAATTATCATTCTTATTTGTCTTTTTAAACCTATATTGCAGTTGCAATATGTCCCATATATAGTTCAAAGTGCACACGGCATGTTTACATGTCTTTCTTTATATACTTTATATACTAATATTACTGGTTAAAAATACTTCTGGTAAATATAAATAATAGTTTTACACCAATGACCATGCCACCATTGATGATGTAGTTATGGAATTACCTCCATTTGCATGATACATCTGCTGCCCATGTCCAACCAGGGAGTAAAATGAGAAACTTCTTCAAAATGGTTAAAATTTAGGGGAAACTAGGTAAGACCTTTATTAACTTTATTTAAATATTTAGTGAAATGAGTCGTCTAACTTATAAGCTTTAATTTTTTTTTTATCTTACTCTGTTGTTTAGTGATAGTAATAATAGCAGACCCTGTGCATATATTAATCTTCAGGCAATTTAAATATGGGCACAGAAGCTAATTGCAGTATTTGTATGTGTGATTTTTAGATAGACGCAACACGAATAGGACAGCAGAGTCCTCATCTCCATCTTCCTCACTGCCTCTGAGACAACAGTCTGCTAGTCCTATCACTGACCATGGGTACTATGGTAGCATGGGCAGCACAAGTTCGGCTGAAGACTCAGAGACTGGCGCACAAGGCATCCATCTCCTGCTCAGACCTCCAGACCTGCTGTCTCCTAGCCTACCCCCACCGCTGCCACCCCACAGCCAGCCCACCATAACCTCTCCCCACCCATCACTTGAGCAGGGTCCCTCACTGGAGGAGACCTGGGGCTCAGGAGATTATGTTGAAACTCTGTCCTTCATGGTGCCTGATGGGGATGAGCTGGCCCTGGCCACTCCCCTGCCCAGTCAGCCTTATGATGATGATGATGATGACGGTGATCACTGGGTCTCCTACAACACGGCATTCCCCAGCAGGCCCACATTGCCCCTTGTCTCTCGCTTATCGCCATCCCTTTCTACTCCCATCATAGGACTCCATGCGAGGCCCATCCAGCCTGACCTGTTCCCCACCTGGGATGAGGACTATGATCCAGAAGACATGATGCCTCTGGAGCCCACTGAGCTGTTGCTCCCTGATATGAACAGTTTGGAGTATTACACCAACCTGCTTGCCCGAGAGAGGGAGCGAGAGCAGGAATGGGAAAGAGAACGCACTGTAACAAAACCATCTATATCTCCCACAGCTACACAGCCTCCATCACACCTTCTCCCCACTCCACCCAGCTCATCTTTGAGCCCTGAGGTCAGCAGACCCACACCTCCTCTCCTCCTCTCACCAACAGTTACAAGCAAATTCAAGCCTCCCACCAAACCTACTCCCCCACCTAAGCCTAAAGATTTTACTCCCATATTGGGAAAACCCTCACTCCCTCCACCATCAAACACTACAGGGCGAATGGCTCCCCCTGAAAGCCCACCTTCCCATCCTGAAAAGCCAGAAAGGCCTCCAATAATCACAGAAAAACCTACAACTACAACCCTTGCCTCTACCACCAAGACTACTCTTGCCACAACAACTAAAGTAATTGCAAAGACCACCCAAATTACAGTGATTAACCTAACCAGGGCCCCACCAGTCACCACACCCCGCATTAGCCCCCCCACAAGACATTATCTGTGTAATGTCACCAAGCCAGAGATGTACCTTGTCAGAATAGGTAAACACATTTGTTTATAACCCATACAACTCTACAGATGCAAATCTTGTGATATTATTTTGATGTTTGTGTGCAGTAAGCTCTAAAGGTTCTTCAGCAAGTTTCAGTCCCGTCAGAGAGCTGCTAAAGAGGGAATTCAACCGCTCAGTTGAACTACAGGTAATTATCCTATAACTCACTATAACAACACTAAATAATATTTATTTAATTTTAGGAAACATCTCTGGGACATGCAAGTGATTTAAATCATTTAGCTGATTTCCATCTTCTCTCTTAACAGTTTCTGAGAACTCCATCAAGTTTTGCTTTCCGTGTCGTCTCTGGACCCTTGATCTATACTGCTATGTCTGTCATCAATGCCCTCCGACAAACAGGACGCACTTTTGGCCCAATCCCCACAGTCTCACCTCTCTATACTGTACCAGACCTTGTATATCAGATCCACACCATTCTGCAGTTTGTGCCATCACACATCGATGTGAGAGTATGTAATTTCAGTGAGCGAGTTGAAAAGGGCTTGCTTATAGCCTATGCTGAGAGTCGGAGACGTGCTCATGAAAACAGCAATATTAGTGTTCAGGTCATACTCTATCTTTATCATTGTAGAATTAGCACCACTGACCATTTTAGCAATGTAATAAAGTTGTTGTTTTTGTTTTTTGTTAGTTGTTAAACATCACCTATGGCTTGACAAGAGAGAAGCAACAGAAGGCTCCTGTGGACGTTACTTTTGCAGTAAAAGATGGGCGGGGCTACTTGACTGGGTCAGAGGTCAGCGAACACCTGAGGAAGCTCAGCCATGTTGAATTCAGCTTCTATGTTGGATATCCTGCTCTACAGATTGCAGAGCGTAAGAAAATGAAGTCTGCACATGGTTGGCTGTAGGGGTAAATTAATGCCTTACACTTTGTTGTCATTTGCAGCCTTTCATTACCCAGAGCTCAACATATCTCATCATCTGCGCTCCACATGGGTTCGCACAGGTAAAGTTTATCTATTGCAATAATAAAAATCTCAATAGTCATCACTGATTTAGGAAACCAGCGGAACAACCAGTTTACTATGAAAGATGTGTTCTGTTTTGTGGTGGTTTTAGTCTTGTTGGGTGTTCAGGACCAGCAAGTTGCTGAGAGAAGTTTTAAAGCTCGATTGGAGAGACGTCTGGCTCTTCTGTTGGAAGAAGGTCTGATTGGAGTCAGCAGAAGACGCTGGAAGAGAGCTACAGCAGTTGGCAACAACAGTCTTCAAGTAATTCAAACTCATTGGTAACAAGAACTGTTGTACTGCCAGAGATTTATATACAAAATACTAGTGTGGCAATCCAGTCATGGACAAGCCAGTTGTTCAACAGTGAAAACTATTTTCAAATTATCCTAAATTGTCCTGCAAACTCAGACCTAGACTAATCAAATGCTACTAAATCGGCTTTGACTATACTATCTGTGTACATCTTTTAACAAAATGCTTTTGGAATGCAGATGTTGTTGAAACTTTTGGAAACTTTTAACTATTTTGTTCAGAATTTGTATTTACAATTTGCTTTGTCCTTAAGATGAAATTTTATTACTACTTAGAATTATGTTTTACCATAAATGCTAAATCTGGTGCTCTATCTCAGGTGGTGCGGGTGGCAAAGCTTTCCGGGGCAGAGCGCCCTCTGGAGATCTTGTATTTTGTAGAGGGCCCTGGTGGTGAGCGTATACCTGCCAAGGTCACTGCTGCCGCTCTGAACCGCTTGGATCTGCAGAGAGCAGCTATCGTACTTGGACATCGAGTTCAGAGGCCTTTGGCTCAATGTGAGGCACTTAGGACTCTATTTCTGTTTATATGTTTGTATTGTATCGGTACCAGTCACTTCTTCTGCCTCTGTGTGTTCAGCTGTGG